TTGCTGTACACAGAGACACTTAATTTTGTAGGGTAGGCATGTGTTACCATGGCAAGTAGTAGTCTGCTCAACTACATTATACTACTCAGCACGGGTTTTTTCTTGAACTAAAAGTAAAGTAGCTGCTTATGTATAGTGCTGCAGATGGGCTAAATTACAGTGTTAATTAGTCTCTGCAAACAAAGCTACATTGTTTCCAGTTCAGAAGGTAGCTTCTGCAGAACAGCCTGGCATGTTTGAGGCCACTCTTGCTTGGCGTGGTAAGTGTGGGATGTAGTTTGCTTATGGTAGTGCCAATATAGGAGGTGTCAGAGGTGAAAGGAGATATCTGTGTACTGGTACTTTAACTTTTCCCACAGCCTCTGACTTCTCCGTAGGACTGAGGGAGGGGTAAAGTGGCATTAAGTCATCTTTTCCCCCACATCGCATGTTGAATACCAGACCTAATCATCTGCACAATTTTTTTTAACTCACCCTAACCCTAATCTGCTGGACGCTGATCTCCCTCTCTCTCTCTTTCTCTCTCGTTACAAAATCCATTCATTTTACCTTGTTTGAGGCACCTTTTCCTGTTGGCTAAAGGATGGGAGTTGCTCTTAAAATTACTATCAGTATGGATGAAATCAGTAACAGTTATACAGTAACATGCAATATCCAGGGATCCATTAGGAATTGGTGTCCTTGACTATATATAATTTGGAAGTTAGGCTCCTCAACATAGTAGTGATGTAAAATATTTATGTCTCTGTCAGAAGGGTTCTTCAAATCCCATTTGCCAAAATCACTTTAACTGAAGTTGGGGAGAAAAACAAGCAGGAGATCAACAATCTCATTTTAAGGTCTGATTAAATCAGTTCTGTTCCTGGTCTGATATGACTAGAACCACCTAGAGAAGCTCTGGGGTAACACTAACTGTACCAGCTGTAACAACTTTTTAGGTTTGATGGCTTGAGGTCCTGAAAATAGATGGTGTTTGCCAGTTTTATGGCACCTGTAAGTTTCCCTGAGTTGAGCAGCTATGGATTTTCTTCAGTCAGGTCTGAAGTTGAAGAAAGGAACAGTGCTGTTGGAAAAGTTTGCCCAAGGGTATCTTAATAAATTCCAGATAAGCATCTGAATGCTTTCTGTGAACACTTGCATTGAATGAATCACTAATCATTTTGAGGTTTGTTCCTACTGTTTTCATATTCCTTTCTTAAGCCAGGCAGCATAATGCAGTGCAAGAATTGAATCCTATTTATAGAGAAATTCATTTTGTGTTGAATAATTTTGTTGAATAGTTTAATTCCTATGGAGAAGGGTGTCAAATAATGATCTTAATACCATGAGGACTTATTCAAAAAGAACTTGCCATAAATGTTATGGTAATTTTAAAAAATGGGTTTCTTCTTTTAGTTCTGGGTTGCTCAAGGGGGTATACATCCTATTTTATGAAAAAAAAGACTTATGTTGTTTGATTGCTACAAAATATATTTCTCATGAAGAGTCCTGATGGTTTTGCCTATGTGTTCACATTTCAGATCAGCGTGCATTTATTTTAGTGAAATAAATCAGCATGCTGAGATGTATTCTTCTTCCTCCCCTGCCAATTTAATGCTACTACTGCATGAATTGTTTTGGGAGTACTACAAGACATGTATTTCATAGCTAAAACTGCCTTCTAGTTTTTCTTTTTAAACTTATTTTTCCTCTCTATTTTGATTTTAGCTATTGACTGCATTACAGGCCTAATTCACTACTCTTTCTTATGCCTTGTGTGGTCCTTTACACCCTGTAAAAAGTAGATGTAAAATACTACATCAAAAAAGAATGAAATGTCATTTATGTAAGTGAGAATGATCAAATAAAATCAGGCACTGGAGAATTGAGATCAAAGTATTTTGATTTCTTTTGAAAACTCCTTAATAGAAGAAGTGTCTTGAAGCTGTTCATCTAAGAAGCAAAACCATATTTATCATTAAACTAAGATGAAGTGCCTCTTTCACCCATGCCAGCCTGTCCCCTTGCACTGCTGCTTTGTTTTAACAACAGTTCTCTCCCTGCATTCCAAGGGCTAGGTATAGAATTAAAAAAACCTAAGGTGGAGTTGATCTAAGTGATATGGTTTTTGTAAGCAACATAGTTTAGATTGGGAGTGAAGAGAATACACAGTTGTCATTTGGTGGGGTAGGCAAATCTGCCATTTTAAAACTAGTCTATGTGTACTGAACTTCTGTTCTGGGTGTAGACCAGTTTTGTAGGCTGAACTTCTGTTATGAGTATAGGCCAGTTTCCAATCACTTAAAATGGTAAAAGTGTAATGTCTGTACCTGGCCCAAGGGTTTGGGGTTCCATCTATTAGAGGAAATTACTTGCTACTTTAACCAGAAATAACCCTGGAAGGAGAGATATACTTAGGCAATAGAAAAAGCTGGTTCTAGGTATCTAATTGGATCATTCTGAGTCACTCCATTGACTCTATATGGTTTGTAGGTACCTAACTCTGTCAGTTTGGATTGTTTTCTTGAGCCCAGGTGCTTAATTTTTAGGTGTTGTAATTCCTAAGTGGAGGCACCAGCTTGATGTGCCCCACAAGTGGATAGTTTTCAGAGATTCTTGAATAAATGTAGAAAAAGCTGTAGCATTTCACATTATAATGTCATCTTCCTGCTAGTGGTCTGTCCAAGAGTCTCATGAGATGTTTTCTAAGAACAGCACCTGAAAATGCTTGATTCAGATTTATTGAAAGTTGTAGTATAAGGTTGCTCTTATCTTAGATTATTATTATGCTTATGGCTGTTGAAGTTCATTTGTATCATAAAGATATGCAATATCTGGTATAGTTTAGAGGCTGATGGAGTATGTCAGGAATTTGGGAGCAGTTATGGGGATTTGCATTCCTTCCCTGATGCGAAATTCTATTTAGTTTTATTCATATACTTAATGCCAGCTGTTGAAATCACACACAAGAAGGGTATTTTAACCTTTGAGGTTTAGGAGGTAAGTTAGCACCATGGATCCAAAATCTCTTCATGTTGCACCAGAGTCTGTAGAAGGTGAAAAATAAAACCTGTGATTGTTCTGTAGTCACTGTTATCAATTACAAAGAAGGATAGAGTGTCTCTTAATTAACTTAATAACCTGATAGGTGCATTTAGACATAACTAATTAGAACTTTGTTGTAATTGGGCCTTTGATTAATGGACTGTAAAGGCTGCTCCATTTTTATTAAATGCATTCTACCCAGGAGAGCACACAGTTCACTAGCAGACTCCTTCTATACCTGAAGAAGGGTGTTTGTGCCCAAATGCTAGCAAAGAACAGTTTTTTCCAACTATTTAGTTGGTCTAATAAAAGATATCACATCTACCCAAAGAACTTTGTCTGCCTCTGGATGGTCACAGGAAGATTAGAATTTAAGACTGTACTGAATAGCTAACAGAACACCCCATGGTGAACATACCCTCCCTCTACTCCAACTTACTTCAGTCAGCTTCTGGCACTGGGAGCGGCTTGTGGGATGGGGAGGTTGGCAGGTTTGGGGGATGGTATTGGCTGGCCCATGGTGGGGAGGGTTGTCTATCTGGGGGAAGAGTGAGTGTCCAGGGGGCTAAAAATAAGCCCTGGGGCTGGGGCCTGTGGCTGGGCTTTCTCAGCCTTGGGGCTGTGCTGGGAGCTATACAGAAGTTCAGTTGGACCTGATCTAAGTTAGACTACCTTGGAGGTACAGTTAACTTAGATTGGGCTAGCCATTTTTAGACCACTCTCAACTTCCTGAATTTCTGTACTGTTCACACTTAGATCCTTAGTTATGTCAATCTAAGTGTAAAGGTCTGCACCTGGGGGAACTAAGTTAGATTGGATAGCCATTTTTAATGCAATCTAACCTCCTAGTAACTTCCCTGAATGTCTGTACCTATCTTTTGAGGATGGATAAGCATTGGAATGGGCCATCTAGTGACTTTGTGGAATCTCCATCCTTGGAGATTTTTAAAAGCAGGTTAGACAGTAGTTAGCTGGTGTGGCTTAAGCTGGGATGATGTCACTGTAAGTAGGGGACTACACTATGGCTGGGGACAGACATTACACATAAACCTGTTTAAGGGATCAGAAATTGGTTTAAACCTGTAATAGAGCAGATGTCCAGTGCACATAAACTTGTTGGAAAATGGCAGAAACTGGTTTGAGACAAACCTGGTTGAATGTAGTATCAGCTTTAACTGATCTGAGTCAAACTGGTTTATGCAATGTCTGTCCCAGACCCCTTACTGGTTTAACTTCAGTCTGACTCCCCCAGCATCCTGGTATGCTCTCTGGGCTGGGCAGGACTCTCTGCTCCACAGCAGGGCTGGCCCCTCCTCTCTGCTCCCTGGCTACAGCTCCAGCAGACTGCAGGCATCTCCCTGGCTTCCCCCTGCTCCCCTCCCTCCCCTCTAAGCAGGGATTCTGCCCTCTGCCTTACACAGACACACAGCATTAGCTAGCAGACCACAGATCCGTGCTGTGGCAGATGGGACAAAGGCAGGTATCTGGTAATGTCAACAGGTAGCTGGTAATGTCCCTCTGTTGTTTTCTTAACACAGGGGTGATAAACACTGTGTTATCAATTCCCTGCTGGGCTGGTCAGAAGGTGGGGAACCCTTCCCTAATCAGAGTGTCCTGCCGGGACCTGGCCATGCCCCATTCAGCTTAGCATTGTGGAAGGGAAGGGAGAGCTGCTCTAGTGCCCCCCAGCGTCTAGCCTGAGCCACTGCAGGCACGTGCTTGCATTTTTTCAATCCAGAAGGGATGTCTGTACAATTGCAAACTGGTTTAGCCAGGTTAGATTAACCTGCAAACATTGAATCAATTCAGCTGCAGGCTTTTTGAATATCTGTCCCTAGGCTATATGACCTTATAAGGTCCTTTCTAGTCCTGCTTGCCTAGTATTAGGATCACTTAATACCAGCACAGCCCATTTTCCACCCACATAGATGAAAATATCCCATTTCTGTTGTATAAATGATTTTTTTTTTTTACAGGTTCTTACAGAATGAAAGTGGGGCCAACATATGTCTACACATCACGTAAGATATTTTTTCAGGGAATAAAGTGCTCTATTAGCCTCCTGCTAGCATTCTGAAAATTATTCCAAAAAAATATACAGAGTATGACATACCTGAGAATATTATGGAACAACATTTTTAACTGTCTGATGTTTTAGTGATATTCCTTTTACTCAACCTATTCTATATAGACATGTAGGCATTTTACAATTTTTATTTCTTGAGTATCGTTTTTCAGTACTACATTAGTTTTTATAGCAAATTGTTAACTTTTCTCATCCATTTCTTCAAAAACGAGCAATATTGGGGAACTTGTATCAACTTACACCTTCCTGTTTAGATTAACCTGACATGGAGAAAAGTCCTGCTTATTCTTCACTACAGATTGTTTTGAGAAATGATACAAATCATAATCTTTTTCCTACATAATGGCATGATTTTTTGCTAAAGTGCCCCCCCTGTTGAATTCCTTTCTCTGCTTTGTCCATGATAAACATGAGAGAAATCCTTTCCTGACACAGCTTCTGCACTTTAGCCTGTTGAAGAATACTGCGGTAGTTGATATGATGTTGCCAAGCAACAATAGATGGGTTACTCCAAGTAGTTGACAGCCTTCTGGATATAAAAATCCTACCATCATATTCCTTTTCTGTAGAATGGCCTTCTTCCATATGATGTGAAACATATGTGCTTGTTCACATGAGTGGGAGACTTTCTTGGTAGAATCTTTGTGGGTTAAATTCCTTTTGTTCCTTTTGTGACTGGTGCTCAATTAGGAGGTCCTCTTGTTGAGAAATGTATTTTGGCTTATCATAGATTTTTTTTAAAACCAATTTTAAACCCAGAAACCAGATATATTTTCCATCTTGGCTTCTTAAGATAAAGTTCTTACTCTCCATTTGGAGGTTTATATGTACCTTATTTTCTATTATACATAATCCTTTATACCACTCTGGAAATAGAAATGGAACCTCACAATCAGTAATTAGCTCTGTCTTTCTCCACATGCTCCTTTACCAAACTATCTTCTCTGAAAGCAACTCAATATTACATCAGACGTCAACTTCTATTAATATTGGAGGAAATATCTGATGAGCAGCTTGTAGAGGAGGACTGAAGTAGGGATGAGTTTAAAGTTGTGGTGTGCAGTCTGTATTATATAGTGTTTGTGGCAAGGCATGTGCCTTGGGTGGATCAGGAGATGATATAAACTCTTTTCAAGTTTAACTTTTCACTTCCTTGGTTTTATGTCAGTTATATTAGACCTGTTCAAGCATAGCTACTTCACAATTTTTTTGGTATATTTATTGGTTTTGAGTTTGGTTTGCTTAGCCAGCAGTACAGAAATAGACAGTAAAGCAAACTATGCAAAATAATTTGGTGATAAAGTAAAGTTTCTAATTTGTCCTGATTGACATACTGATCATGCAACATTCATTTTACATTCTTCCAACAGGGTTAAAATATACCGTACCATTTATTCACCTGAATCTTAAATAAACAATTCTGTGTGTGACTGGCAAGAAAACAGGTTGTTTTAAAGTGGGAAGTCAGGGTATCCAGCATCTTGCATATCTATACATTTTTGCCTTTATTCATAATCTATATTGTGAGGTGTATGCTTTTTATAATGTTAGTCTGTTAAAGGATAGCTAATGGGGCATATACCATGCAGGTTGCCTTTACTTATTGATTCCATTGCATTTTCTAGGGAGACTCCGTATGTTTGGGACTAAACTACTTCAAAACTCTTAGCCATTTGGCTTCAGACAATTTGTAACCTCTCATAAAATATTGTACTATAACTGCAACTGTTTGCAACTGCTGCATTCATTTTTCAAACTATGTACAGTGAAAGCAAGGACAACTCTGCTGTACAGTCATATTCATTGCCCATGAAAATCATTCATACAGCAATATCTATAAGACGATCTTCTGAGTTTCTGGGCCTAATTCTGGATTTCACTGACTTCAGTGAAATTCCTCTCTATTTGTCATGGTGGAAAGGGATCAGGATCAGGAAGTGTGCCCTCCTGAAATACTGCTTATTTGAATATATAGGCTTGTGTGGTTTCCTAATGTCTGCAGGGTCTGGAAGACATATTACATAAGTGAAGTTCCACATGCATGCAGGTTTTCACAGATTTAATAATTTGAAATTACTAACAATTTAAACCCTCTTCACAAAAACTGAAGACATGTTTTGGCTCAGTTAATTACAGTTATTGATATTCTTTTGTTTGTCAGTATAGTGCTTGGTATAAGTTATTATACTAAACTGAATTGCATTTTTAAAAATCTGTTTAAGGAATTGATGACCAAGCTGATAACAGAAACACCTGACCAGCCAATCCCATTTCTCATTGACCATCTTCAGTCTAAACAAGGAAACCGCAGTCAGCTTCAGAGAACATTGTCAGGATCTGCTGCTCTCTGGGCAGAAAGTGAAACATCAGGTAAGCATGGGATAGTTGCATGCTTTGAAATAAATGTTGGAATGGGCTAGTCTCCTGTAATTTGTTCAGACACAGGATGCAAAAACAAAGAAGAATTTTTAAGATGAAGAAAAACTAATATTTTCAATAAGTGATTCTTTATTTTATGTACCATTAAAGGGATTTTATGCATTCTATGCATATGGTATAGAAGGTCAGATATTCTCCTTATCGAGTTATTCTT